CAGATTTTCAAGTACCTCAAGAGTTGAAAAATGCATTTTTTCTGTGAGGTATTATTTTTTGTTGTGAAAAAAGTGCAGTGCTGCAGAGCTTATTATCGTGTTCTCTGCTTGTAGGTATTTACTACGTGCATGCTAGTTATTTGTCAAAACACATGAGGGAATTTTGGGTTTTTTTTTTCACAGTGATATGTTTAAAAACAGAATTTCTTTAAGAGGAGTAATAAAAAAGAATTTTTCAGCATATGGAAAATAGAATTTTATTAATCATGTTAATGGAGAATTTGGAAAAACCTGGATATATTTGAATAGTTTTTCACAAGTTGAAAACGAAGTAGCAATCTTTTCTCTCGAATGACCTTTCTTTGTAAGGTGATGAGTAACTTGAAATGAATGTCTTTTCTGTGACTGGTAATAGATTTGTCAAATTCCCCCCATTATGAGGATTCTAATGGAATGGTATTCAATTATGGGGGCTAAATTTTGTAACCTTTCATGTCATTGTGTGGACCTTATTGGTTCATACTAATGGTGGAATCAGTCTGGTAATTACCTAGACAGCATCTCAGGCCAGTTTATTGAAAATAGTAATGGCCAGCGGTATAATTGACACTTTTTTTATGGCCAACAAATAAAACTCGTAAAATATATGGGTTTTTCTCTGAATGTTATTGAAAATTTTATGATGTACTTCAGAGAGAAGGGGATATAGTAAAAATACAATTGGTTATGATATTGAACAACACAGTTCAGGTTTTCTATCAACATGATTATAAAGTGTTGACAAAGCTTATATGAATTGCAGTACACAGGAAATGTAAAGTGAATTGGTAAATTGATATCAAGGTTATAACCATTTACTTGTTTTCCTCTAGTTCTTAGTTACTGGTAACATTATGGCTTTAAAGCTATAACTGCATGTGGGTGTATAGATCTACTTCTTTTTATCATGATAGCTAGTGCTTTAAAATTCACTGATTGATTTTGGATCACATTTTCTCAAACCATGGCATCTTTAACAAACACAAAACACTGTTCGAGACTTTTTTAAAATCATCATCGAGAAATCTGTGTGTGTTTTAGTTGGTCTATTTTAAGCATCCATTATAGTAAAAATAGACCTAAGGAACTGCCCCTAATGATTCTTTTACAAAGACTTCTTTCATAAAATTCAAACAGCAGCTTCATTAACTTATTATTTCCTTGCATTTAATTATGAGGGCATGTTGGCAAAGACAAAGAATGCTTTGTATTCTTTGAATATTGCAAGAAGAATTTTTTTGCACTGACGTCCCTGCCTGGAATTTTCATTGATAAATTATGGAGGAATGCTTTGATTGGGTACAAGGTATATAGTGCACTATATCCCTACCTTACAGTAATACATGTATTTTGATGAAAGTGAATACATCTTCATACCAAGTCATTCGAATCTGAATTTGTCTTTGTGACCGAGCACAGGCAATGGTTGAGGTGAATTTTTACACATACCCTGAACAATTGCCAAACTTTATCCTAAACATGTTTCATATAATTGGACGTGCCTCAGAATAAGATATAAGGTGATGAGTTGATGTGGATTTATCTGGAATTAAGAGGTAAGGGTATATTTCTTCAGTGAAAGGCGGTCTGACATTGACTGCCCTAGCCACTTTCTGTATATCAGATTTGTTTTATTGTTTTGCCTGGCAGATGCTATTTGTCAAGAGTGCATCCTTCCTACGTCAGAAGGTGTTTCTGCAAGTTATTTTCAGAATGTGCATTTCATGACTGAAAGTGCATTGCACTATTTCGTTAGTTTCTTTTCAGTTCCTCTCTTTGAAAACCTTTTCTCCAAAATTTTTCAAAGTGCAAAATTTTGCTAGGCATTTTATTAAAGAGAGAAGAGTAATAAGTTATTTTATGGAGGTGGTCTTTCTGAACCAAAAAAGGAGAGAATAATGAAATCAGTGCTTTAATTTTGCTGTAAGAAAAAAATAACATGATCGTAGATTTGTGATACTAAGTAGAATTTAAAAAAAAAATAAAAAGGGGGGATGGAGGGGGCCCAGGGTCTTGCCTGGATTTATTTTAAATGGAGTGGTAATTGTATATTTACTACAATTGTAACAGGTCAAGGTCAAGTTGGTGGTCTTCTGAGCACGTGATCAAATGCCAGCAACAGAATCTGTTGTTTTATAGCCTCAAACGCAGATGTGTTTCCAAATTCTGTTTTATAACCTTTGATATCTTATTTTGTAGATTAAAATCGCCATATGCATGATGGGGTTTCAATGATAAGAGTTTATTTTGGGAAACATCTTAATTCATAGAAATTTATTCTAATTCTTTTGGCTTGAAAGATTCTCTTCTTCTTTCCACTTAATTGCAAGGATCTTAAATTTATATTAATTAATTAATATGCTTTTTATTTTTAGAATCCATAAAAGATTATCAGATTCTTTCAAAGAATAATTTTAATTATTTTAGCTCGTAAGGTACTATCTTTGATCCAATTTATTCCATGGATCTAAAGTTTGTAATTTTCTGACAAATTAATTAGTCTCTCCTTTGCAATATCATATTAAGGGTATCTGTCAGGAACCCCACAAAGTGCACTTCTGTTGACATTTACCAGACAGATTGCACAAGAGAGAAGATAAGATTCCTAGTGGAACTGTCTCAGACATTGTGCGGTGACAATCACCCCCGGGCTAGGAACACCAGACACTGCTAACACCTAATCTTTTATGGGTGCCATCAAGGTTTTCTGCTCCTCTTCACTGCTGCTGATAATGCAATGCAAATTGATGTCTTTTATAAGGAGTTAGGCAATAAAATTTTAGGGCAGAAATGAATTAGATATTGGTCAGAGAAGTCTGGTTATAGTGTCCTCTTGTGTTGGGGATAATGGTGGTCCTCTGTAATGATTGTCTGTTTCAACAGGTAAAATTTTTATTGTAACCCCCTTCCACCCTCATAATTTCATTGAAGGACACAGTTTGATAATTTTAGTTTTGAGAAGAATCTAAACAACATTTGTCATTGTTTCAATTATGATTTAGAGCCATGTGCAAAATTTGACTGCATGCAATTCAAGTTGGAAAAGGGTCAATCTTCTTTAGATTTGGGTACACAATAGGACAAATTATTTAGTGCATTGTGTGGTTTTCTTGATTTCTATTTTAATACCAGTCCACAAGGAATGCACACTGCTTTCTTATTGTATATACATCTGCAAACTGGCTTCTGTAACAGATTTTTATGAATAACTGACTTGTATGTTTCTGTGGTCAGGGTCTACATGAGGGTTAATACCACACACACTCTTTGTGTCACAATCTTGTATTGTAAAATATGAATGGCAGTCTCAAGGAGGGCCACTTCAAAAGAGGATGAAACCGACTGAAAATGAACACTGTTTCTATTTCCTGCAGGATATGTAATGTCTGAACATTTATTATACAGGGCTATCTTTGGTATGGGAGGTGTTTGAATGGTATTTCCTGCTGCAGATTTTTATGCTGTATTAAATTTGCCACTTTGAAGCATCAATTGAAAATTTTCCTTTCTTCTTTTTTGAAAAAATATAATTGCAAGATTTTTTCTGCACCTTTTGTTGGGAAGAGGCCAAGGTGTTTTATTCAGTTGCTGTACGAATGCAGTGCACATAAATCATAATGTAATAGAGAGGTAAATAAAATTGGCATGATCAAGGAAAAAATAGTCATTAGTATAAATAACATTAGACTCAGCATCAGACAAGGAACTCTACTGAACCTATTATTCCATTAGAGACCTATAAATCTATCGGCATTAAGGCTCCAAAGCTAAATGACTGGAGACCATAGGGACTGAATGTGGCAGACTTGAATAACTGGACTTTCCAATATTACTGGCCATTTTGCCCTATTTACCATTTATTGACCATCCATTATTGGACTTAGTCATGTGTTATGGAACCTTTGAAGTACAAATGTAATAAAGATATTATTTTTCATAATATCAGATTTCAAATTTCCAGAGAGAGCTAAATGGATCAATTCCGATGATTAACTGTAGATTTAGGTATCTTGGAGGTTATCAAATGGTTACTGTTACAAAATTTTTTAGTTTATTCTCTTCTGTCCTTGGAAAAAGCATTTTTTAAGGATTACTCAACTATCTTGCTTCAAGGATCATAGCAAGTTAATTTCATCTCAAAAGACAGTGCAGAGATCAAATATAGTCATTTCCAAATATAGTCTGCTTATATCAAGTCCAGAGTTTGAATGTCTTAAGTGTGCAAGTGAATAAACAAAGCATTAATCAATTTTCCATAAAAGGAAATAAAAAAAACAACCTCACATGATTTCAGCCCTCTTCTCTACCAAATCCATTGGGAACACACTCTGATTTCATTGCTATATTTGTGCATTGTTCAGTCATAAGTGCTACAAGAGACCTGATTTAAAATGTATCATTCTCACGTATTTAGAATTATGAAGTATTTTTACAATTCCTCTTGATCAAAATGATTGGTTATGATGTCACTACGTCCCACAAATTCAAACTTATGGAGATCAATTGCCAGAGCCTGATCAATTGCGGGCTTTAATTTCATTGGGTGTTTTAATTCCTGGTACGTGAAAAAAATCTTTATTTAGACCATTTGACGCAATAGTATTTATTTTTGATTGGGAGGCTGGGTATTTTTAACACCTCTTGAAGAACTTAAAGCATGGTTTTACTGATGCGAGTGATAACAGTTATATATGGTAATATCATTGTAAGAATCAATAATGCCGTAATGTCAAATAAGGCTTTAGCTTCAGATCCAATTATTTAACACTATAAATTAATCCCAAGACATAATCGTTAACAAATAAACAACTGAAGGCTTAAATACATTAGCAAAACTGTTATGTGGTAATTATCAGTAATTGATCATTTCTATGCATGAAAGTTTAAAATATTTATGGATTTATTGAAATCAAAATGTACGTTTTTATAGATTATGAAAATTTATTTTTTTTCGTTGATAGAGGACTGTGAGCCCCCAGATGCTCAGCTTCTCTCAGATGTTTGATCATAGTCAGACGGGGAATAATAACAACAATACGTGTAGCCATTACTCTAAAGACCAGGTATGTTCTTCCAGAATAATATTAGTTATAAAAAAACTGTTGGAAATTATACCTTGTTGTCTTGATGCATTCTTTGGTGCAGTAAATTATGAAACTCACAAAACGATGATCTTTTATTTTATTTTATATATGGTACTAGGAAATATTAACAGCATTTCATCCATTTATCCTTCAATAGCCTGTACCCTGCATTTGCAATAAAGTATTGAATGTGGTCATTTTAGTATGTTGTATATATACATATAGTATTTCTAAGGAGGTTTCACATTTCTCTCTAGTATCTTGTATTTCATTATTTGTTTGGAAGTTGTGTCAGGGTACATGTTCTTTCAATTAAAGTTAATTATTTAATCTAATTTACTGGAAAATCACTCCTCTATTTGTAACCAATCATTTTACTTTTTTATTGGAAGTCATGCATGCCATGTACTGCACCAAGTCCTGACCCGATGTTGCAACCCTAGGTATTCTCTTTGACTGGGTCAAAACACACTCCCATAGGTTCCAGTTTCTTTCCAAAACTTCTTTAAACATTCCTCTTATCAAATTTACTAGTGTCAAGTAATTGAACCAGAAAAAGTTAGAAATTGTCCAATTTACTGAAACCAGATCTTGTACCAAATGCTACCACTGTCTTTGATTGTGAAAGGGGATTTGTGTGAAGCTCAATTCTTAGACCACAAATGCTGAACCCCTCCCCAACCTTTGACAATGGCTAATCCACCCACAGAGATCTTTGTCATAAAAATTGTCAAATTATTCAGGCATAAAAATCTGTAAGGTCAAAAAGTTCATCAGTAGTCGGTTCAATCATACGAGTCCAATTAAAGCAGCATGTGTATCTTTACTGGAGGAAAAAATTGGATGCAAATTGATAGAATTTAAAGATTTTTTAATTTATAAGATTCTTTGTTTATAGTTTGCAGAATTATGCATAGAACTTTTTTTTCAATTATTTATGCCATTATATAGAAGAATTGAAATGAAAGATTAGTTTTAGTTGACAAAGATTAGAAGCACCATGTGTCTAGTACCAATTAATGTTCATATATATACCCAGATCTACTAGTTATGAATAATTGAAAAAAATGTCTTTGAAGTGAATTACAAACTTGTTTTATTTTCAAAACATGCAGTTATACCTGGTTAGTAATCAATTTCAAAATCATAATTTCTAATTAGAACATGAACAGGTACAACTAAAATACCTGTCCTCTCCACCCTGGGGCTGCAGGGGTAAAATAGTGTTGTCCGTGCTGTACAGGAAATCAATAAATTATGCTTTGATTTCTGGATTCAACTTTTGTTCATTGTAACAATTTTACCTTCAAGATAAAATTTTCTACAGGTCCTGTTATTATGTTGTTTTTTTTTTTGGTTATTTACAAATCATTTATATGTCAACCCACTGATAACTGTGATTTGTGCAGACTTGCTCTGATAAAGTAAATATTTGAAAAAAACAGTCCCAATTTAAAATCCTGAAAGTTGAGATTGATATCAGTCGAGTTTGCTTGCTTATTGAGGAAAAGTCCTGTTTACTTGGTTTTTACCTCAGGAAATACTACAATCAGAATCTTGGTAAGGATATCAGTAAATTGGTCGATTTTCAATTTTATTAAGTGCTTCCGTAAATTAATTGCTACAAATTTCTTGAATGAATTCAAAAACAAGTTGTTAGGAGCTGTAGAGTTTGTATCCTGTTGTTCAGGCTTCTGACAGTTGGCATATAGTTATTCAAGAGCGATCTTGTGCAGCAGAGAGAGATGATCGCGGCAGTATTTAAGCAAGCAGTATCGCTGAAGTGTGTTTAGTGTTTAGCTAGCGGTTGTTGCTATAGGACGTGAATTGGAAATTTTTTTATGTGATAGAATTTTGGTTCAAGTGGAATGGGTGACTAATTTTGATAAATTTGTCACACATTATTAATTAAATACATTGGTGTTATTCAAGATACATATGTGTTTGGGATCTAATATTAAAAACTTACAGGTAATTTGATATTATTTTATTATTCATTTTATAAACTTAATTTAAAAATAAGAATAGAAAAAAAAAATCAAAAATAAAAATAGAAAATTGTGGTACACTTGTTTATAAAAGTTGTTTTTGTGCTGGATAAAGGTAGCAATATGTAAAATATAATTGCTGTTCAGCAGATTAGTAAAGGTGCTAATTACTCTCCAAACTAATTAATTCACTCAAAAGGTTGGGGGTCTTTGATGTTGCAAAATGTTTTGCAAAAAGCTAAGTTTATTTAGTGACCTGTGTGATTTCTGCTCACTACTTTATTTTTTTCAAAACATTTTTGCTTTTATGAATTAATTGATGTAAAAACTCTTACTTAATAACTTAGGTATATACAGTTATTGAATAATTCACTTGCGTCATTAGACTGGTTCTGCAAGATGGTTAACTCCTTCTTAAAAAATGTTGCAAGGTATCGTGGTAGCACTTTACTGAATCACATTCATGTAAGTTTCTGGTTTGAATTTCGATATTTTTAGACGGGGAAATTAATTCGTCATGGTATTTTCTTTTTGAAAAAATTACATCCCACTCATTGAATGAAGTCATATTTAGTTTCAGGGAAATACAAGTTCAAGGAGATTTAAGAAAGAATTCTATAAATGTTGCGGTTTTACATACTTGTATCGAAACTGTGAATAGATGGAGGAATATATCAGTTTGAATATTCCGTCATTCATGGGATGTACATACTACCCCGAATAACTGAGATTCTTGGTAACAAAAGAATTTTTCTTCTCATGCACTGCAGGTTGATTGTTTTTTTTTATTAAGCTGCAGACAGTATTGACGTTTCTTATTTAGCTAGATAAGAAGACCTTGAGACTGGATGTAGTTATAAATGTGATTTATGACGTGAATGATATTGTATTGCAGGCCTTGATATTCTCTGATGGTATACTAATGGCAGGGACCATGGAGGCTTTAATTCAACATCTTGTCCCCACAGATGAATATAATCCCGATGTAAGTATTTGTAAATACATGTAATGTATACTTCCTTATATATTTACTATATGTAGATAAAATAAATGATAAATAATGGTTTACTTTGATCACAATTATTTTGATCTTAAATTCTTTTCTTTATAATGAATATTTAGAAATGTATCAATTTTTTTTTTTGTAGAAAACTTATGTGTTTGCCTTTCTGCTCAGCTCTCGTCTATTTATACGACCTCATGACCTTCTTAACGAAGTCTGCCAGGTAATTGACTAATCAAAGATGAGAATCAATTAATATTTTTATAAATGTTTAAGGAATGTGGAAGTTCAGGTGGAAGTGAAATATCTGTCATTCTGTGATAGCAGTTTATTCTTTTCTTTGACAAGGTCAATTATATATGCATTCTTAATTAACCATATAAGAGCATAAAATGTGTCCACCTTTCATATTTGTAGTTCTATGTCATGTAATATTATGGTAATTTATACAATGACCCAATTTTAAGAAATCAGAAATTACATTTCCATACATGGATAGCTTTTTGACCTGATAACTCTACATGCCCTTGTATAGAGTTTGATAAAAGTTCTTTCCCCTAAGCGAGTAAATTAACCTAGATAGAATTAGGTTTTAAAGATGATGATGTTTTTTCAGGTGTGCATCCTGCAGCAGAACCTATCAGAAGATGAACAGAGGAAAGAGAAAATGGGCAAGTTTGGCCCAAATATCATTCAGCTACTGAGTGAGTGGGCAGATATGTTCCCGTACGATTTCCGGGATGAACGGATGATGAAGAAATTAAAGGAGATCACGCAACGAATTCTGGGTATCTACCCTGAACTCCGACCTGATGTCACCAATATTACACATTCCTTGGTCAAAAAGGTTCGCATATTCTCCCCTTTCCTTTCTTCAAGAAAGTCAGTAGAAAATTTTATAGTGATGAATTAATTGTGTAACAATTCCAGTAAAATAGATTTGTCAAAATAAATATTTTAACAGCCTTTCTAACATCTGAAGAAATCATTGAAAATTCAATATTTCTTTGAAGTCTACTTATAAAAAGCTTTTGTAAACAATATTTTATCTGGAAAAAGTATCAAGTGTGCATTATTTCTATGAAGTCATGCAATATGAATGGCAATAAATTATCAAGATATTGAAGGATATGTTGCCCTTTTTATTGAAAATATTGATTGGATCAATTCATGAATGCAAATTAAATGCACTTTAATATACTCTCTCATGCATCTTAAAGTGAATAAACAGAAGCTTTATATTGATTTGGTTTCTCTTGTTTTAGCTGGCTGAATTACAGAGTTACGAAGATGATTTAGCCAAATGGAACAGCGAAGCAACTTCAAAGTCCCAAACTCAGGAAGTTCCAACAGTAAGTTTTATTATTGAGTCATTTTACTGAGTCACGAGAAATAAGGTTGTTCTTTTTTGTGTGTGCACCAAATGTAAGGTTGCCACGATATTGTAGAAACAAGTGACGGAAATCGCAAAATCGATCAATTGAAGGTTTATTGAAATTCAAACACCATCTGATAAGAAATGTTGATAACAGCAGGTGAAAAGCACAGGTGAATAAAAGTGCATGCTTGTACCTGTCGGTATATTAAATTAATGTGGCCCAGGTACAATATATCAATTTCATGTCAAGTAAAGTGTGTAATGGGTCTTTAATAGGAAATAGATGTATGGAGAAACCATTGAAAATTTATGGCTTGATAATTTTTGCAAATTTTTTTCTTTTATAGACAGATATCACTGAAATTTGCCCAAGTCCTGTCGAGTTGGCTCAACAACTCACTCACATAGAACTGGTGAGTTCAAGTCAATATGAGACTATAGTGATACTTGATATTTCCATCTCAACTTTCATAAAAAGAAAATAAACAGAAATCTTAAATTGATTCTGAATTTTAATGAGATATTTCTTTTTTCCTTATAGGAGAGGTTAAGTCACATAGGACCAGAGGAATTTGTTCAAGCCTTTTCTAAAGAGTCGAGCACAAAAGAGGTAATAATTGCTATTCCGCCTACTCAGAAAGCTATAATGTTATTAGATGGAGATTTAACAATAACACAGTGTGTTTAAATAACTAACAAACTCTCTCAAAGTTATAAAAGTTATTAAAAATTGTCATTTTGATTTTATAGCCCACCTACAAGGACATGAAGAAAACTAGTAACCTGGAAGCTTACGTACAGTGGTTCAACAGGCTCAGTTATTTTGTTACCACAGAAATTTGCTCAGTATGTATTAAAAAGAATTTTGTCTCCATATTTTCTTTGAAAATTTAAGAAAATTGACACATTAAGACTGAGCAAACTTGATAGAGAAATCTAACTGAGAGTTGTTTTATTGCAGCATTTAAAGAAAAAGAGTCGAGTCCGAATCATTGAGTATTTTGTGGATGTGGCTAAAGAATGTATAAACATGGGCAACTTCAATTCTCTCATGGCCATTATAGCTGGGATGAACATGACCTGGGTCTCACGATTAAAGAAAACGGTAAGAGGCGGAATCCAAAGCTCTTTTCATATATAAGATTTTTCTACAGTTCTTTTATTTATAAGAGTTTTTTTTGTAAAATTCAAAAGGTGCAGCTTCAATTGTTTCTTTTGATTTTTCAGTGGTCCCGGGTAAACCGAGCCAAGTTTGAGATTCTGGAACATCAGATGGACCCCACCAGTAACTTTGGGATTTACAGGTCGTGTCTCAAGGCAGCTATGTGGAGGTCTGAGAGTGCAGAGGCAGGCAGCAAAGAAGAAAAGGTAAAGTCTCTTATCAGAATATTATCTTCTGTCAAATTAGCAGGTGATAGTGAGGGAAAAATGCATTTAAAGGGAGGCAACTCTTAATAATGGCTCTAATTTTTTTTTCTTTATTTGCAGATTATCATTCCATTCTTTAGTTTGTTTGTGAAAGACTTGTATTTCCTGAATGAAGCATGTTCCAACAAACTTCCCAATGGCGATATCAACTTTGAGAAGTTCTGGCAGCTGGCAAAACAGATCTCGGACTTCATTACTTGGCAGCAATCTGAGGTAGGCCATACATATTTGATGTTGTCCTGATCAATATGCATGGTCATGCAACAAGATGTTTTTTTTCTTTTGTTCCTGGGCCATTTGTTTTTTTTTTCTCCTGAAACATTAATAACCTGTTCCTATCATTGGGATTTAGATAGACTATTCTTGGGTCTTTTATCTTCTCGATTCTGTTTGATGCCCCAGGGCTATTGTCTGTTGACTTTACACTGTAATGATAGGTTATACAATTAATTGATCAATATCTTGTGGAAAAGTACACCTTGACAAATTACAGAAAGAGATACATGTTTACCTGAAAAGGGGCATATGTAACACCTGGCGACAGGTTGATTTATGAAGACGATAGTTTAAAATACCTATTTATTTCAAGTGTCATTACTTGAAATCAAACAATACCCATTATAAAAATGTCAACTTTTGTTTGATTAAATGGTAATTGAAATGTTTATGTCTTCTTTTTCAGTGTCCATTTACAAAGAATGACAAAGTGATCAATTACCTATTAACTTCACCTGTGTTCTCAGAATCAAGTAAGTATTGAAGTTTACTCTGCTTGATATAGAAAATAAAAGTTGGAATTTGCAAATATGCAGTCATTTCTTAAATCCTTGAAAAAAAATTAATTTTCACTTTTTTTTCCCTTTACAGCTCTAGCCTTAGCATCCTTTGAATGTGAGGCCCCAGAAAAGAGTTTTGAGAAAGAGAAGCACAAACAGTTAAAGTGAGTACAGTTTTAAGTAAACTTATTCAAAACATGCACAATATGGATGTTATTTACACTTCATGAAATTCAAGTTTCATTTGTAGACATACAATATCCTGGATTACATAAAAACTGTTTTCTTTTTTTTCAGAGCTAGTGCAGTAGTATGATTGGAATTTCCATGACACTGAAACAGGGACTTAGTGCTGCATTCCAGGTCTTACAAGCCATCCCATTGGCTGATCTCGTTCACTTCCTAGTCATTCTTTGACCAATCTGCTGTCAGCATGTTTGGAAAGCCATTCCATGTTCAAGTTTAGAGACTTCAGAGCCAGTGACTATAGAATCTTACTTGTCAAGGAAAACTGATTCACTGCCAGAAAATAAAATGCAATAGAGGCATTGTGGTAGACATTTGCGTAGAGAACACTCTCTATCAGTAAATAGGGCATAAAGACTTCTGGTCTCAAGGAGGATTATGGACTAAAAGTATTATTGTGTTCCTGGGTTGTCCATATGTTTATTTATAGAAAGCTTTATCTGGTGTACTTAACATCTTCAATATCCCTTTTAAAATTTATTGACCAAAGAAGCTTTTTAGGTTATTTATTTATGGCAGAATTTTTTTCATTTACAAAACATATTTTCTTAAAAAGAACAAGTAGAATTGATTTGAAATACAATTCTACATTTACACATTATTTTTTCTGAATTTATCTCTTTACATTTATTATGAGATTTTTTTGGAGGAATCTAATGAGTGACTTTGGTATTTATTCATTAACTTCTCCCCAGGGACCATGTTTGTATTTATAAATGTACAGCATACATGTATATTGTATAAAAGGTATGCCAGATGCAAGTATTTATTGCAGGATTGTATAGAACTATTAATTAAAAATTAAAGTAATTTTTTCTAATAGAAAATGTAATTATCTTTTGGAGAAAATAGTAATCTTTTTTTCCATTCATAAATTTTCCTAAAATTGTACTTTATATATTTTTGCTTTGGATTTGAGAATCATATGTCTTTGAGAGTGTGTATGATTCCATGTCTCAGTTATTTAAGTGCTATATTTTAATATGTGCTGTCTGTATCACAGTGTATGTGATAATAAACTGTCTGACAAGGCAGAATTTGATCTCAGTCACTTCAACACATTTTCATTGCCCATTCTATCGTAAGAGACCATAATATAACATTCACAATTTCACGGGAAAAATAAAAATGACCATATTCATTCATGCTATTTGGTCCAAAGAAAAATGTTTATATTTTGAAAGGTATTTATATTTTGTAATTAAAAGTATTCTACAGTGCAATGAATGAGGATTTGTACTGGATATGATATTTGCGGTCAGTACGTCTTAGTACAATTGTATATCGATTATAAATTGTTGTTAAACAGGTGGTTTACAGAAAGTTGTATAAACTTACCTTTTGTTTGTTATTATATATATTGTTATCAAGTATTGTACATACCTGATGTAAAATGGGAGTTTTTGATCTACTTGAATCTCTCATTGAATAAATTATTGAAATGAAGTGATTTCTTTTTTGCTATCTGAGGCATTTTAGTGATTTACCCCTTATGAAGTTGACAATATGGTTTGAAAAAGGTACACTTTAATTCGGTGTACTTCTATCTTTTGAAATTAATTGGAGTTTCACAACATTCTACAAACAATGCCCTCTCAAGGCAGGGCAGAATACACAGGAGGAACTGTTTACAAATTTGATGCACCAAGAACATTCAAATGAATATTGATTTGGCTTGATTGAATTCAAACCAATTACCGAATTGTGTTGTAAAAATATAACAATTGCACCTATAAAATTAATTTATTTTCCTTGCATTATCAAAACCTTACACATCAAAACACCTGTTATGTATGTAATAACCACTAAGTTCTGAAAGAGAATTTAAATTGGCATGTCTTAAGTGAGAAAAAGAAGAATGCAAACATAAGCACTGGATGTAATTGGTGATGCATGTTCACTATTGGCATGTTCACTATTGGCATGTTCACTGTTGGTATTCATTTGTTCAACACAGACAATTTCTGTTACATGTATAAAATACAAACAATTAACATCCAAAAAGTTTGAATTCAAAGAATAAAAAGTTTGGCTTCTGCTTAAAAATAAAGGAAACTAGAACACATTATCTTCTAAGATTTAGTTGTGATTCTTCTTCAACATGGATAAATGTGAACATGATGAAAAATTTTCAAAAATTTCAAAGTTGTGCTTAACTAAAGAGATGAATTTTCAAGTCTGACAAAATCACAAGAGTGTGCAGAAGGAAAAGTTATAGGATTGTTCTTGCATATGAAAATATATATAAAATCTTGAAAGCACCTGTTGCTATGCCATACATAAAGACAAATAACTCAATATAAATTGGAGCTGAAAATTAGGTTATGCATGGACTGATGACTTCCCATGTTTTGAAAATGTGGGAAAATAAATTAAATGTCACCAATAACAGAAACTGAAACTGAATTTTATTACGATAGGTGAAAACTTCATGATGAAAGGTAGAATGCTTAAAGTTTTAACTTGAAATTGCAGTTTTCTTGACACTTTTCCCGTAAAAAAAAAAGACCAAAACCTGTGAAACTTTCATTAGTATATATATATATATTGCATAAAAAGACTATGCAAAGAAAGATAACTCTTCTATTGCACAACAGTTTTGTTCCGAAATCCTTCTGGTTGCTGTTAGTGTACAATCAGAATTTGGGAGCGCAACAAAGATCTGATTTAAATTAAATTGTGGTTTACCTTATCGTAAAATACATGTAGTTTTGTCTTTTTTGGCAAACTACATATTTTTACTTCTTTGCTTCCCCCTCTAGTTCTATAGCCATGTTGTGCTCAAAGTTTATTAGTAAATTTATATTCATTACTATTTTTCAAAAATAATTGTGGCCTATCTTAAATACTTCAATATTTCATATAATTATACATTTCCTAGATAACATTTAGTAATTTGAAACATTATAAATTAAACTACCTAAGACTTTGTTGACAAGTGTACCTATCACGAACAAAGTATGTGGACCCCCCCCCCCCCCCTCCTCTTACACCTTTCCGATTTATGTCAACGGGACTGCTCGACTTAGCGGCGATACTAATCAAAAGTAAGTCTTTTTTACGTGAACCTGTCCCGTAAACGGAATCATAGAATACCGAAAATATTTATTTATTTATTTTATTTTATTTTATTTTATTTTATTTTATTTTATTTTATTTTATTTTATTTTATTTATTTTATTTTATTTTATTTTATTTTATTTTATTTTATTTTATTTTATTTCATTTCATTTCATTTTATTTTATTTTTTTTTTTTTTTGAATTCATCATAATCATTGTCTTCTAACTTTGTGTGATTATATCGATGTGGGGCGACCCCCCCCCTTCTAAACTTTAATTTCCAATTTAAGGACATTGGCAACGTTTCTGGATTTTGTATAGAATTTTTCAAGAACTTTTGAACAGGTTTAATGGTACCAAACATGTTCAATTCTGGTCCTTTTTACCCATCAAACCAGCCTTTCTTTAAAGATTTTGACAAATCAATGTTTTTACAATTCTCAATGCATTTCCTATGTAAAATGTTGATAAAATGGTCCTATATTATTTTTAACCATAAGATTTTTCTAAAACCTATTTATTTCATAAAGTTTACACATAAAATACATTGTTGAATCTTCATTTCCTGTCACAAACATATACTTTGGCTCAAATTGCAATTATAGAAATAAAACACAGAAATACCAGCACTGTTCTTTGATTTTGAGTTACTTCCCTTAACCTTCTTTAACATCTAATTATTATTCATAATGACCAAGAGACTGGTTGTTTAATTGTTTCTATACTATAATTTACTTTATTTGAAAGGAACTGTCATTAAACATTTTTGCAAGAATTTATTATTAACTTTTAATGATGCCTCATTCACATAACCTATAGAATCGTTCTCATATGGCCTACCTAGCTATCACCACTTTCAGCATAATTATGTCACTTCTTTGCACTTCCCACCATACATGTACTTATTCTTAATTACGAACTGTCGACTGTCTGGCCCTCAGCACAATGTAAACAAACCAATCTCTACTATTCTTTTATTATTGTAGAGTTGAATATATCAGATAAAACACACACACGTGCTTTTGTTTACCTCTCAATCTGTAATGTTCACACGCTTTATTTTTTGAGAATTCCATAGATCACTCTCAATGACTATTTTTATAAATGAAAAAAACTGGGTATAAACCTTTTTTCTACGGAAACCCTGCGTTGCCAATGACCTTAAATTTGACTTTTGATCTTACCCATAGAATATAGAGCTTTGACATTTAAATTAAAAACATACAATTTTTTTTTAAATTTTCTTTTTTTTTTTCTATTATTTTATTTATTTAAAAAAAATTTAATAACTGTCTTCTAACTTTGTGTTATTTAATCGATGTCGGGCGGTCCACCTTTTTATTTAACCTGAACTTACAATTTTACAATTTACCTTTAGTACCTACTTTTGATCCCACCCCTCAACTCTTAAATCCAAACACTTTGGCGATTCAGATTTAATTAAACGTTTGAAAGCACTGATTTTCCGCCAATCCGATCACGTTATTTTCCTAGCAACACTAACGCCCGGATGCTGCTTATGAAAATGGAGGACACCGACATACGAAGTGGCGTTAAGTAGTCCAATAATATAACGGTGTTAAAAGCATCTGTGTGTTTTTTCTTAGATCCTCTTTCGGGGAAATTCTATATTCTTAGATAAACATAATTTGTTTGTGAAATCACCGTAGGAGTTTTGTACAATTCGTTACTTTGCGCCTCACAAAACGTAAACATGGCGCTGGAAAGAGCAAAGGTAAGGGTCATCGTGGTGTAAAACAACTGTAAACATCATTAATTGTATGTAAAAATATCGAACAAATTGTATTGATAGAGCCTGTTTGCAAAGAAGGTATGTAACTGAAGTTTTGCTGAAAATTTAACAACTGAAGTGCAGACAACAAAATACCAAGTAGATTATGTGAGATTATGTAGTTGAATCACATTTGTAAAATTGCCAAGAAATCTTTTAACAGAACAATTTATTTCCAAATGTCTGCAACATTGCCAACATTTCAAATGCACTTTGAAATGTTAAATAACACAGATGTGTATTAAATTGAATTACACCAGAATAACAAGTCTTTTTAAAACGTTTGACCATGAACTATGAGTGTTACAGAATTCTACCAATGAAAAGGTTCATAGATACATTATGCATAAACTCACTGCTTAAAAAATAAATGCACACATATGCTTTAACATTTACAAAACCGTCAAAAATGAACTTTTTATACATAAATATTATCATTCTTTTAACTGTTTTCAGTCTTCACCAGGCCGATTTCAAATGGTAAATTTGTAATTAATTAGTATAGACTAAGTACAGGATGTGGTTCTTATTGCATGTTACTGATTTCAAGATAAATTCAACATTTTTTGAAACTTACAGCACTTTTCCTCTCCAATTCACAGGGTTAAGGAATTTATCAGGATTTATAATCAAGTTTATTACAGAAAATTGCATGTACTTTTTTTATGAGTAATATTTATTTCATAGTTAATAGAATGGTGGAGGTACATAAAAGTTGTTCAGTTTTCCATTCAAAGTGTTATATACATGTAGTTAGTACACTTTTGCTATTTGTAATGATGCCTTGAATATTATTTTATTTATAGTATGTGGAAACTCCCATACAGAGTTGCAGCAAAACTAGGGGACTCCCTGGCTTGCCACCTCTACCAGGGCATGTGGAGGAACCATCTGATCTATATAAGGTACCTAATTTAGCGAAAAAATATTTTTTTTAACTTCTAATACATAAATGATTGGGCCAGCTTTAAAAAATAGTTTGATTGTTCTCTCCCAAACGACTGGCTAAAAATGACTCGCCTCAAAACTTTTTTAACCTTCATGAAGCAATCAAATTATTTTTTACGTAATCTGGACAACATATTTTAGAAATGGAGATTGAAAATGAAATGTTCTGAGAAAAAAATATTTTGTCACCTACCTACCAACCCAAATTTTTTATCCTTAGTCAAGAGAGGCCAAACAAACATTATTTCTGGCCTTGCTTAAACCTCAGAATTGGTTATTTCAATGTTTCAAAGAAACCTCTATGTCAATTTTTATCCTGTGGTAAAATGACAATTTTTATCCTACTCTAAAAAACAAACCTTTAAATATGTACCTGATTGCAATTGAAAAAAAAATCATGGGACTGTAAAAGATACCATTGCATTTTATGTTTTTTAAATTGTGTGTTTTTTTCTAGATTGTCTTGAAGAATAGCGAACATCCTCCGATCATGAAAGGAACATCCTGGACACTAGCCGCACCATTCAAGGAGGAAAAATTTCACAGAACACCTAGTGAATCCATAGCAAACAACTACACACCCTCGGCCAGTGATTTAAAGCTGAAAGATTTACCCAAACTGACCAGAACAAAGACGAAGTGTAC